ATCCAATAGCCTGCAGGTATTGGTGCAACAAAAGGCTGAGCAAAAAACATAAAGGGAAAACTAGGGAACAGGATGTCTATCAGAGTCTTTGGAAAGCTGCAACATATTCCTAGGAATCTAGAAGGGTACACACACATTCAAGGCTGCACACATGCCCAGGAAAGACATGTAAAGGCCCAAATTTCTTACCTGTAGCTGACCTTGAGGCCCTGCACAAGGAGGAAGTGAGTGCTAAAGCAGAGTTGTAAGTGGAGATGCTGAAGCACTTAAAATATACAACAGTCATAGACAGCAAAGGCAGAAAGACATAGTGTTTCAGGGCATTTAAGAAATCTTATTCCAACCATTAGCTGACTACTAAGTATGGAATAGACTTCAGAGGCCACACACAACAGTGAATATAAACCTTAACAGAACTATTTCAGGGAAGTCAGTAAACAGTAAAAACAACAAACCCTGAGGAAGGGAAGAACATGATTTCCATAGTTGTCACATTGTATAATTTTAAATTTCCAATTTTCAACTGAAAGTTATAAGACAAAAAGAAACAGGGAATTATGGCCTACACACAAGAAAAATAAAAGTTATCAATAGAAACTGCCCTGAGGCAGCCCAGACATTAGCTTACTAGACGAAGTTTAAATCAGCTGTTATAAATATGTTCCAAAAAATAAAGGAAACCATGTGTCAAGAATTTACATAGGAAAACAATGTCTCACCACAGAGAATATCTAATAGATAGAAATTATAAAAGGAAAATAGAAATTCTGGAGCTGAAAAGTACAATAACTGAAATGAAAAACTGGCAGCAGAAAGAATCAGCAAACTTGAAGGCAGGTAACTAAAGTTATCTAATCTGAGAAACAGAAAGAAAAAATAATAAAAAATGAACAGAGCATTAGAGACCCATTGGACAGTATCCAGTATTTCAGCATATGAGAGTCAGAAGGAGAAGAGAGAAAGGGGCAGAATGTCTGAAGAAATAATGGCTAAAATCTTACCAAACTTGATGAAAAACTTTAATCTGCATATTGAAGAATCTTAGCAAATTCCAGGTAGGATAGACTGAAAGTTATCCATACCTAGGATAGGCAGTTTCATAGTCAAACACTTGAAAATGAAAGACATAAAGAAAATTTTTAAAACATGAAAAAAGTGAATCTTCACTTTCTGTACAAGGTATCAATACTGACTGACTTCTGAGAAACCATGTCATCACAGTGCTCTCTTAAGGCTGGACTGGTGGGCAATTTCTACACATGGTTTGCTCAGACAGACTCGGGGGGGTTTGTGGGCCTCTTTGCTTTACAATCCCTGTGTTTCTATGACAGCTTTTACATGTAGTAATAATATGCCTTATAACCATCTCATTGTGGTTGTAGACATGCTCAGACTGGCTGTGCTAAATCATTTTAATAGTGTCTGATCTACAGATGATGAGTGTCAAAAGACTGTAGTTATCATATCCTGCTTAATGGGTAAGATTAAGACTTCCTTTTGTGTGTTACAATACCCAGGTGAGATACTGACAGGCATGTGGGAAGCTGTAGTTCTTGGTTTGGTTTCCATTCTATTATGTGCAAGTCTTTTATTTGGCTGGATTGGTTACCTAAGAAACAACTCTAGGGTAAAGATGGATTGGCTGTTTAGGGAATGGAATTACAGACCTCTTAAAGAAGCAAAGAACTGTTGGATAAAACAAAATTAGTAAATGGCTGAGCTTATGCTTGGTGTGCTTCAGGAAATCACAGTAAGATGAGGTCTTGAGGAGAACCTACTGATGCAGCATGATTTTAAATTTAATGGTTTCTAATTCATTTAAATTCACCAAATGTCTATTAATTCCTGCTTTGTGCCCCCTGCTGCAGGCCATTCTGAGGGCTTCCAATGAAGTAGAAGATTCAGTTCTCTCCTGAAAAGCTCATTTTCTGTTTGGGGTAAAGAGCTACTTTAATATCAAGTGCACAACTGTGTGATACTAACTAAATGGTGTCCAGAGAATTTGGTGTATATAAAAGCTCTTGGCTAATCAATGTAAGAGTTGGATTTAAATCTACAGGCAGAAGATGATTCTTTTGAGGTAAAAGATGAAATTTTAAAACTTGGTGAAGTTTGGTACTAACAGAACTTGAGTCTATAAGATTAACAATAGCAGCGCAGTTACCTTTGCCACTGGTACCTTTAACTATGAGGTCAATCATGTTCACCTAGAGTCTTACTCAAGAAAATGAATTTTAGCAACAATGTTGAGGAGAAAGTCTGTTTTCACTGAAAGTTTTGGAATCTTGACCACTCCAACAATGCTGAGCACATGAGAGACACTCAATAAAATATTTGCAAGTTGATTTTCTTTATACAGTATACCTTCTGGCTGTCGGTTAGTATTAGCTTTCTTTTCTTCCAGAATGTAGCTGCTGAATATTTGGTCTTGACTTATGTTGATAAGGACTTCTTTAAATACAAGAGCATAATTCTTTTTTACAGCTGGACATCTGTCAGGTTGTTTCCACTTGGCTTGTAGAAGGTATAGCTATAATTTCATTTTCTTATTTGTTTTATTTGTGTTCACATGGTGTGGTATGCTAGTCAGGAGAGGAGGAAAAATCAAACCTCGTCAGAAAGCTTAATAATCTACAAGTACAGGAGGTTAAGGTAAAGTTGAGTTCTAAAGAGAAAGTATTTCTCTTTATTGCCATAAAGAGAAAGTAAGAGAGGCAGCATAAGGATACTCATAAGTATTTTGAAGGAGAGATATTTTAGTTACAATTTACTGAACCTGCAATTTTAAATATTTGCCAAAAAAAATAATTCTCAAATGTAAATCTAAGTCCATGAGCTGTATGGAGTTACCAGTGAAACTTTCTTTGTATTTAAATGAATGTGTGCAGAAAGTTGCTGCTAAAATCAGAATCCACAGTACTGCATTTTGTCAGGGGATCTTTCATTGCCTGCTGTCTATTCTTACAGCAAATACAGTTTTATAAATGGAATAGTGACTACAGAGGGTGATTTGTTCCAAGTCTTTTGCTGAACAATCAGTAGTAGTTTTCTGTTAGTTATTGAGCACTGCTGTGAATGCCTTCTTTATTTCCCAATTCACAATAAATACTTTATCATAATAAGACACCCCCTCCCTCCAAGTTTTCTTTTCAAGGAAACTTCTTAGTGTTTCACTTTAAGAACAATTATACAATCCCTGGTGCCTGCTACCTGCTTCCCACTCCCCTTTTCTAGGTTCAAGCAGTTACCATGATACTTCAGACATTAAAAATTGTCAAAACTGAACTGATTCACTTCTTTGAGCCTAAGTTGCTCAGTTCCAAGCAACAGCTAGAGCAGGGAAAGTGTGTGGCATTATTGTGAAGGTTTACTCACTTTCTATTCCATTCCCAACCCCCACTTGCCTCCATGGAGATAATTATAATGCTGTTTTTGCATCTATGCAAAGATGACAGGAATGGGCCAAATTACTAGGTGATTTGAGAGAAAAAGGTACAACTTGTTTGAGTTGTCTCCTACTCTACCCACAGTTATAGTCAGAGTTAGCATTAGAGAAAAAAAAAACTACGACTCAAATTTGAAAGCAGAACTGATTTTCCACTTTATTTTCTTTGAACACATTCCTTTATTTCTAAACCTGTGTCAGGACTAAAACACAAGTTGCAGAAAAGCCCTGTCCTTCCACCCACACATATGCTTGTGTACACAGATCTACCCTGCGTGGTCATCTTCTGCCAGGGCAGCTTCCCAAAATGCCTCTAGGAATTTGTGGCAAGTGCTATTGTTTTGAGGTTAATGTCTTGTTGTTAATATTGAGAAAATAATTAAGACCAAAAATGATGCAGAAATAGATTACGGTTGTAATGGCTCCAGAAATTTATTTTCTTGTACTTTTTGGCAACTGTTTTCCCATTTGCAGTTGCTCTTCAAGGGGGAAACAAGCAGGTTTTACTCAAAGGTAACATTTGCTTTGTTCATGTTAGTGGGAAAGAATAAATAATTTACACTTTCACCTTACTTATCTAGGTTTCTGTAAATTCATCCCAAATTATGTTTACCTCAAGAGAACATGTTTATGTAAACATAGTACTTGATGTTTTACAAAAATCACTTTTGTGTTATTTAATTGGGAGGGGGCATTTGAAAAATTACAACCAATGTCTTTATACTCTACTGCTGAAGTATGGTGGTAATGGTTCGGCAATGTGAACACTTGCCAAAAATTGTTGAACTTACCAAATGGGGAGACCTACTAATTTTTCCACTTTCCAGAATTTAATAGAATTAAATTAAACGAAATTCAGTTAAATTAATTTTCTTGAATTTAATGGAATTAAATTAAAATTAAATTATATAGAATCTATTGCTGAAGCATGGTGGTAATAGTTTGGCAATGTAAACACTTGTACAAAAATTGTTGAACTTAACCAAATGAGGGGACCTGTTCCATTTTCTTGAATTTAATGGAAAAATGCTTATTCTTAAACTTCTTAGTTTATAAATATATTGGTTCTAGTGTTTAGTACATTATTTAATTTAATTTATATATTGTGATTAGACATATTTCAAGTTTGCTTTCAATTTCCTGAATAGTGTTTTTCTCCTCAGCCAAAATAAAATGCTATATATACTGAGTCTTGGATCTGGCAATAGAAAAATTCAAATTCAATTTTTGCTAGTATGTAAGCTCAGCAAGAACAGGAGCCTCATCTATCTTGGTCATGGCTATTTCTGGAGCCTAGAACAGCACCTGATACAAGTATTCAGAAAAAAGCTTTGTGGTTTTTGTTTTTTTTTTAAGTTCACTTTGTAGGTTAAGCCAAGTATTACTACATTGTGAACTACAACAGAGTGCTGAAGAGTAGGACTCAGTGGAATTCAGTGCTTGAATGACCCACACACAGAGAAATAATACTGAAGGACTAAAGGAGTATTGGTAGGGAATATTCCCTGGATATGCCAAACCCACTAAAATATTACCAACTTTTGCTTCTCCGCAGGAGCACTCACTGTGGGCCTTGTGCGACAGTGTCAAACAATCCATGGACGAGACCGGACATGCATCCCACCTCGGCTTCCTCCAGAGTGGGTCACCACACTGTTTTTTATCATCATGGGAATCATTTCATTGACTGTTACATGCGGCTTGCTGGTGGCTTCCCATTGGCGAAGAGAAGCTACAAAATATGCTCGATGGATAGCATTTACTGGAAGTAAGTAACCTGTGCTTACTAAATTTGTCTGGAAGGTGCACTTACTGGTATTTCTATGAAGATAAGCAATTATCAGTAGTAAGGACTCCTTAATCATCAGAGATCACCACTTGTGTATGGCCGTCAGACAGACTCTGTAGAGTCCCATCAGTTCTGCAGAATTCTCACCACACCAGGACATCCAAACCTTAATTACTTTGTATGAAGTGCTATTTTAATGAATTTTTTTTTTGCTCACATTGTGACAGGAATGTTCCAGGTCTGTGACTCAGTGGTACTACTCACCTGAGTCTCTTCCTTTTGAAAGTTTTGGCATCTTCTACCAAATAAAGATAAATCTACAAGAAAATACATAGAAGTATCAATTAGGTTAAGGTGGTGATTTGCTCTTTAATATCATTGAGTTTGAGTTTCTACTGTGAATTGTTGTGGCCATCAAAAACTCAACATGTTTGGTCATTTAATAATCATTTATCAACCTTTGCTACTCCATTAAGCTATGCCCAAGGGTATGATATATATTATACATTCTCTGTACTTTGCAAAATTGGTTTTATTTCAGAACACATCAGAGGCTTTTCCCAAGTTAAAATTAACAAAAATGCAAAAAGGAAATATATTTCTGTTATTTCTGCTGCTTTCTCTCTAAAGCAGGTTTCCTCCGTAGGAGACATTTGTCAATGGCTGGGTACATTTTTGATTGTCACAACTAGAGGGCTGCTGCTGGCATCAAGTGGGTAGAGGCCAGGGAGGCTCAGGGAGCCTGCTGAATATCCTGCAGTGCCCAGGACAGGACAGCCCTACAGCACAGACTTCTCTGGCCCTAAATGGCAATAAGGACCAATGGAAAAACCCTGCTCTAGGGAGTAGGATAATAATACCCATGCCAAATGCTAGGAGAATTTAACTCCTGATTCAGTGCCTTAAAATCATCTCAGATTTGCTTGCATTTTAATAATGAATATTATAATACAACTTACTTTTTTCACTTGATGTTTTCATGTTGAGCTTGTATGAAGACTCCTGTTAATGTTAAAGCCCAACATAGCCTTAAAGACCATAGGCAAGGAATACTAGTTCACAAGTCTTATATTTCTCCATCTCTCTGTGAAACTTTCTCTTTAACATAAATGTTTCTGGCTCTGTTGTTTTGCTTTAGTCCCTATATCTCCCTTAATTTTAAAATTTAAGTCAAGTTGCCTTTCATGTAAAAAGTTCCATCCCAGTTAAGAAATTAAACAAGTTGATGATCTTGCTTGAAGCCAAACAGACTTCCTGAAATAGTTCTTTTCTAAATAGTGGGTTTGGAGGTGGTTGTAGAAACAGTGCTGCTAAATTAAACGATTTTGGTGAGGAATTTAAAGACAATCTTTACTCACAGATAAAAGTGCTTATTGAAATAGAAGTGAATAAAATAAAATCAAAGAAAGCTTTAGTTTCTGGATGTAGTTGAAATTTGAGAATGCGGTATTTCTGAATGCCAGAAATCTAAAATATAATTTAGCAAAGTAGTATGTGTCAAAGCATTCAGATGCTCACATGAGCCATTGGTTCTTACAACCCATTAAAGGGAAAGAACTGGAATTATTTGTTTTTTCATTCCTCTTCAACAGAGAATGTTTGAGTGTATAAATCTCCAAATACAATGGGTTTTTCCATTATTTTTTAGTTAAATAATTTAACTTTTGTGCATATCATACATAATTCAAAGTCTATGAAAGGGTCATCATGTGAAAAGTAGTGTCATTTTTGGCCCTCCCAGCCATCAATACCTCTTTCCTGGAAGCAACCACTGGTACTAATTTCTAGGATTTCCTATCTGAGGTGTTCTATGTGTGGAAACATGTATGTATTCCTGCAAGTGTTCTATAAATATACATTTATTCTATTTATACTATTCTGCACCTTGATTTTTTTAGCTCAACAGCGTAGCTTGGAGTTAATGTTGTCAAAGTAAGCATAGAGATAACGTTTACTCTTCTTAGCTTCCTTAAATATATTTTTTTGTTGTTACCAGAGCTTATCTACTGGGGTGGCATTCCTAAAGGGATTGGGCTCCCCCTAGTGTTTCCATTCAGCCTTTGAAAATATACTTCACCTCTATTGTATTTAATTCTATTCCACTTGAGCTGTAGTTTTGGTAATGAGGGTAAGTGACATTTTCTTATGGGTTTACACAGTGGGGAAATATCTCTCAGAGAAGAGCTACACATGATGGGGCTTACCTGTGAGGCAAGGGTAACAAAGATGTATCTTTTTCTTCAAGTCTGACCCTTGTCCTCCCTTTACCACCCTAATTTACATCCTCATCTACCCATACATCCAATATCTGACTCATGACCAAGAAATCTGTGCCATTGAGGGTATAAACTTTTGTCTTTACAGGATTATTTAGGACCCAGACCTTAATTGTCAAAAGTTGATAGATGTTATCAGAATTAATCATAATATAAGATCTGAAGTAACTTCACAGGTCTCAATAGCTTAAAAGAAAATTTGTCCACCTATATTAAATTTACCCAGAAGTATGGAGAATCTAGTTCCTTGGATTAAAAACCCAAGATTAGATTGAATAGGAGTTCACTGCTTCCTTAAAACTTCCTAACCAATATAGGAAAATATTTAACTCATGTAAAATACTAAACTCTACTTTAGTCACTAAATGATTACTCTATATAAAGGATAGATTTTTATTTTACAGTAGAAAATGAGAAAGGATAGGAATGAAGTTAGCAGATCAGTTAACAGAATGAACACCTATATCTGCAGCTCTCTAAAGTACCTCTAAGTTATTTTAGTGTTTCTTGAGATTAGATTAATCAACATTAATAAACAAATAATTTTTTTAAATTTTTTATTAAGGTATGGTTGATATACACTCTTATGAAGGTTTCACATGAAAAAACAATGTGGTTACTACATTTACCCATATTATCAAGTCCCCACCCATATCCCAATGCAGTCACTGTCCATCAGGACAGCAAGATGCCACAGATCCACTGTGTGCCTTCTCTGTGCTACACTGTTCCCCCCGTGATCCCCCATACCATGTGTACTAAACATAGTACCCCTCAATCCTCTTCTCCCTCCGTCCCCACCCACCCTCCCGCACTCTTACCCTTTGGTAACCACTAGTTCATTCTTAGAGTCTGAGTCTGCTGCTATTTTGTTCCTTCAGTTTTGCTTCATTGTTATACTCCACAAATGAGAGAAATCATTTGGCATTTGTCTTTCTCCGCCTGGCTTATTTCACTCCAGTTTTGCCAACACCAGCTGGTGAAGAGGCTGTCATTTCACCATTGTTTATCCATGTTCCCTTTATCATACATTAACTGACCATATATGGTTGGGTTTATATCAGGGCTCTCTAGTCTGTTCCATTGGTCTATTGTTCTGTTCTTGTGCCAGTACCAAATTGTCTTGATTACTGTGGCTCTAAAGTAGAGCTTGAAGTTGGGGAGCATAATGCCCCTAGCTTTATTCTTCCTTCTCAGAATTGCTTTGGCTATTCGAGATCTTTTGTGGTTCCCTATGAATTTTAGAACTATTTTCTCTAGTTCATTCACGCTTAATGTCCTCCAGCTCCATCCATGTTGTTGCAAATGGTAGGATTTGTTTCTTTCTTATGGCCGAATAGTACTCCATTGTGTATATGTACCACATCTTTCTCCCTTCATCTACTGATGGACACTTAGGTTGCTTCCATATCTTGGCTATTGTAAAAAGTGCTGTGATAAACATAGGGGTGCATATGTCTTTTTGAATCTGAGAAGTTGTATTCTTTGGGTAAATTCCAAGGATTGCACCTTGATTTTTTTAGCTCAACAGCGTAGCTTGGAGTTAATGTTGTCAAAGTAAGCATAGAGATAACGTTTACTCTTCTTAGCTTCCTTAAATATATTTTTTTGTTGTTACCAGAGCTTATCTACTGGGGTGGCATTCCTAAAGGGATTGGGCTCCCCCTAGTGTTTCCATTCAGCCTTTGAAAATATACTTCACCTCTATTGTATTTAATTCTATTCCACTTGAGCTGTAGTTTTGGTAATGAGGGTAAGTGACATTTTCTTATGGGTTTACACAGTGGGGAAATATCTCTCAGAGAAGAGCTACACATGATGGGGCTTACCTGTGAGGCAAGGGTAACAAAGATGTATCTTTTTCTTCAAGTCTGACCCTTGTCCTCCCTTTACCACCCTAATTTACATCCTCATCTACCCATACATCCAATATCTGACTCATGACCAAGAAATCTGTGCCATTGAGGGTATAAACTTTTGTCTTTACAGGATTATTTAGGACCCAGACCTTAATTGTCAAAAGTTGATAGATGTTATCAGAATTAATCATAATATAAGATCTGAAGTAACTTCACAGGTCTCAATAGCTTAAAAGAAAATTTGTCCACCTATATTAAATTTACCCAGAAGTATGGAGAATCTAGTTCCTTGGATTAAAAACCCAAGATTAGATTGAATAGGAGTTCACTGCTTCCTTAAAACTTCCTAACCAATATAGGAAAATATTTAACTCATGTAAAATACTAAACTCTACTTTAGTCACTAAATGATTACTCTATATAAAGGATAGATTTTTATTTTACAGTAGAAAATGAGAAAGGATAGGAATGAAGTTAGCAGATCAGTTAACAGAATGAACACCTATATCTGCAGCTCTCTAAAGTACCTCTAAGTTATTTTAGTGTTTCTTGAGATTAGATTAATCAACATTAATAAACAAATAATTTTTTTAAATTTTTTATTAAGGTATGGTTGATATACACTCTTATGAAGGTTTCACATGAAAAAACAATGTGGTTACTACATTTACCCATATTATCAAGTCCCCACCCATATCCCAATGCAGTCACTGTCCATCAGGACAGCAAGATGCCACAGATCCACTGTGTGCCTTCTCTGTGCTACACTGTTCCCCCCGTGATCCCCCATACCATGTGTACTAAACATAGTACCCCTCAATCCTCTTCTCCCTCCGTCCCCACCCACCCTCCCGCACTCTTACCCTTTGGTAACCACTAGTTCATTCTTAGAGTCTGAGTCTGCTGCTATTTTGTTCCTTCAGTTTTGCTTCATTGTTATACTCCACAAATGAGAGAAATCATTTGGCATTTGTCTTTCTCCGCCTGGCTTATTTCACTCCAGTTTTGCCAACACCAGCTGGTGAAGAGGCTGTCATTTCACCATTGTTTATCCATGTTCCCTTTATCATACATTAACTGACCATATATGGTTGGGTTTATATCAGGGCTCTCTAGTCTGTTCCATTGGTCTATTGTTCTGTTCTTGTGCCAGTACCAAATTGTCTTGATTACTGTGGCTCTAAAGTAGAGCTTGAAGTTGGGGAGCATAATGCCCCTAGCTTTATTCTTCCTTCTCAGAATTGCTTTGGCTATTCGAGATCTTTTGTGGTTCCCTATGAATTTTAGAACTATTTTCTCTAGTTCATTCACGCTTAATGTCCTCCAGCTCCATCCATGTTGTTGCAAATGGTAGGATTTGTTTCTTTCTTATGGCCGAATAGTACTCCATTGTGTATATGTACCACATCTTTCTCCCTTCATCTACTGATGGACACTTAGGTTGCTTCCATATCTTGGCTATTGTAAAAAGTGCTGTGATAAACATAGGGGTGCATATGTCTTTTTGAATCTGAGAAGTTGTATTCTTTGGGTAAATTCCAAGGAATGGGATTCCTGGGTCCAATGGTATTTCTATTTTGAGCATTCTGAGAAACTTGCATATTGCTTTCCACAATGGTTGAACTAGCTTACATTCCCACCAGCAGTGTAGGAGGGTTCCCCTTTCTCCGCATCCTCACCAGCATTTGTTCTTAATCTTTTTGATGCTGGCCATCCTTATTGGTGTGAGGTGATATCTCATTGTGGTTTTAATTTGCATTTCCCTGATGATTAGTGATGAGGAGCATCTTTTCATGTGTCTGTTGGCCATCTGAATTTCTTCTTTGGAGAACCATCTGTTCATAGCCTCTGCCCATTTTTTAATAAGGTCATTTGCTTTTTGGGTGTTCAGGCATGTAAGTTCTTTATATATTTTGGATGTTAACCCCTTGTCAGATATGTCATTTACAAATATATTCTCCCATACTGTAGGATGCCTTTTTGTTCTGTTGATGGTGTCCTTTGCTGTACAGAAACTTTTTAGCTTGATGTAGTCGCATGAGTTCATTTTTGCTTTTGTTTCCATTGCTCGAGGAGATGTGTTCAGGAAGAAGTTGCTCATCTTTATATTCAGGAGATGTTTGCCTATGTTGTCTTCTAAGATTTTTATGGTTTCATGACTTACATTCAAGTCTTTGATCCATTTTGAGTTTACTTTTGTATATGGGGTTAAACAGTAGTCCAATTTCATTCTCTTGCATGTAGCTGTCCAGTTTTGCCAACACCAACTGTTGAAGAAGCTGTCATTTCCCCATTGTATATCCATGGCCTCTTTATCGTATATTAATTGACCATATATGGTTGGATTTATATCAGGGCTCTCTAGTCTGTTCCACTGGTCATGGGTCTATTCTTGTGCCAGTACCAAATTGTCTTGATTACTGTGGCTTTGTAGTACAGCTTGAAGTTGGGGATCGTAATGCCCCCAGATTTATTATTCCCTCTCAGAATTGCTTTGGCTATTCGAGGTCTTTTGTGGTTCCATATGAATTTTAGAAAGATTTTCTCTAGTTCATTGAAGAATGCTGTTGGTATTTTGATAGGAATTGCATTGAATCTATAGATTGCTTTAGGCAGGATGGCCATTTTGACGATATTAATTCTTCCTATACATGAGTACAGAATGTGTTTCCATTTATTGGTATCTTCTTTAATTTCTCTTAAGAGTTTCTTGTACTTTTCAGGGTATAGGTCTTTCACTTCCTTGGTTAGGTTTATTCCTAGATATATTATTCTTTTTGATGTAATTGTGAATGGAATTGTTTTCCTGGTTTCTCTGTTAGTTCATTGTTAGTGTATAGGAATGCCACAGATTTCTGCATATTAATTTTGTGTCCTGCAACTTTGCTGAATTCAGATATTAGATCTAGTAGTTTTGGAGTGGATCCTTTAGGGTTTTTTATGTACAATATCATGTCATGTGCAAACAGGGACAGTTTAACTTCTTCCTTCCCAGCCTGGATGCCTTTTATTTCTTTGTGTTGTCTGATTGCCGTGGCAAGGACCTCCAGAACTATGTTGAATAGAAGTGAGGAAAGTGGGCATCCTTGTCTTGTTCCCTATCTTAAAGGAAAAGATTTCAGCTTCTTGCTATTAAGTATGATGTTAGCTGTGGGTTTGTCATATATAGTCTTTATTATGTTAAGGTACTTGCCCTCTATACCCATTTTGTTGAGAGTTTTTATCATGATTGGATGTTGAATTTTGTCAAATGCGTTTTCAGCATCTATGGAGATGATCATGTGGTTTTTGTCCTTTTTGTTGATGTTATGGATGATGTAATTTTTTTTTTTTTTTTTAAGGCAGAGGCTTTTATTTAGAGAGAAAGCGAGAGGACAGAGCTCCTGGCTCAAGCCAGGAGGGGACAAAAGAGCCCTGGGGTGGTGCACTATCTAGGGGTTTTGTAGCCAGTTGAGAGACAGAGGTCTAGGGATGTACACCTGCAAAATGGTCCCAAAATGTTTATCTTTGAAGAGACATTAAGTTTCTAATTAGTCTTCCTGGTTATTTACAAGAATTTTACTGCTCTGATTTCCTCCCAGGATAGTAGCTTCCTGGCCTGGGAGCATATCACTCAAGACTGCCTGGTTTGCTCCCAAGGTGGGCTGAGTTATTGTCTGTTAAGAAACTTACTCTTTAACTAATTGCATTTTAAGGTGCAATCTTATTTTCAAGATGGAATTCTTCCTGTTTTTACTAGTTATTTGGGGCTTGCTTGCTACATTGCCCAAGTTGCAAATAATTTCTTTAGAGCTGGAGGAAGAAAAGCAGCACCTGGGTAAAGTTAGAAAAATAAGCTGGGCCCCCCAGCAGGCCAAAGAAAATCTCACAGTGGATTATCTATCTTGCTTTGTTTTTTCCAGAGGCCCTCACCCTACTCTGTCTAAGCCCTTGGTCCCTGTCTCATTCCCCCCTCTACAGATGGAGGGAGACCCTAGCTGCTGCTAGGGGAAAGGGGGTGATGACCAAAGAAACAAATTATTTTTAAAACATAACCTTATCCCATTGTTTATTAGATTGTGTGTAGCTACTTAGATTGTGGTTTCATTTTACTTACCAAGCTATATTAAATCATAAGAACCATTAAGAAGTTAGTTACAGATAACACTGATAAGTGGGCATTGGCAGCACTAATAAAGTTATTTATTGCTGACTATAAAATGGAAAGACCAAATGATCTAATACTTAATACCTGAAATTTTCATATGGGTAGATATCCGAAAGAATCCAGATTCACTTACGTAACATTGTTTGGTGTGGTCATTCACTCAAAATGAAGTAGGCTGTATGTCCGTATAATATAAAATAATCCGCATAAACGGTGCAAAGCGAACAAGAATGCTGGTATGTTTCTTAAGCTAGTGTATTACTTAAGGAAATTTTACTTTTTAATACATTTCTTGAGCTATTTCTAAGGAAAAGATTCCTAATTGGCTTTTTAAAGACTCTCCTATTAAATTTTGTTGATTGATTAACACAAACATAATTTAGAACAGCTATCAGTGGGTACATTCATCTAGGACTGAGTCAGTGTTCCTGGGGATAGATTTAATGGAAAAGGTTTCTCATTCATTAATAATAAAAAGCTTCAACTCTTCATATGCAGTGACTATAGTAACCTGTCTTCAGTGACTATAGTAACCTGTCTTCACATTACACTGAAGAAGTGTTTCTGTCTCCAAAGGAGTTTGATGACCTATGAACATTTCACCAATATGCTTTCAAAAAACATAAAATACTTCCTTTAAAAGGTAGCCTAACTATAGGTAGTTTCTGTTTGCTAAGAAGAGTGCCTCTTTGGTGGCACAGAGCACTCTCCTCAAGCAGTGTACTGTGGAATTGCTTATATCCAGACTCTGGGCTTTCTCATTCCTCTCTAGAAACATTTTAGCAAATAATATATTTCATTATGTTTGTATACAAAACTCAAGGTAGGTTTCCCCACCCTGCCTCACTTTAACCTCTGTGTATTCAGAAACCTGACAGATTTTATTTTTTGAAACATTGTCCATGAACCTGACAGATTTTATTTTTTGAAACATTGTCCATGACAAGAGATAACTTCAGACAATTTGCTAATCATCCCAGAAGTCTGAGATTCTTTCCCCTAGCTGATATTTAAATCAGAATAAGATATATGTGTATGTACCTTTTCTCCAGTTCCTTCTAACTAATACTAATTGCAAGGAGCAGAGAACTGTCAGAACAATAACTGATGATAATAATGGGCAATGTTTACAGCACCTGCTGTCAACGTGGTGCTGTGCCAGGGACTTGACATTGCTTTGTTGATCCTTCTAGTTATTTACCACATTTTCAGAAGGGAACCAGAAGCCTGAGATTATACAGCTAGTAAATGGTAGATCCACAGCTTAGACCCTGTCTGACTTCAGCTAGAGGTCTTAATCACTACTTCAAATAATCAAGAATAGTATATGCAAGTACTTAACTAGATTTGGAAACCTTCCTCAATGCTAGTAGTCAAAATCTCATAACACATAAAAAGGCTAACCCAACTTCCATTGCATTTAATTGTTAGGATTTTGGGATGTCATATGTAGTATATGCAGGTCTTTTGACAAGTGGTTCATGTTTTAACAGGTTTGACCATGTTATCAATCCACAACCTTTCTTATAAACTTCCTTCGTGCCAAGTTTTCATTGTTTTGTTAATCAAACTGCATTACTAATGTTGTGTTTTGGTTTGTTTTGCAGTGATCCTTTTCTGTATGGCTGCCCTAATATTTCCAATAGGATTTTACATCAATGAAGTTGGAGGTCAACCTTATAAATTACCCAACAACACAGTAGTTGGGTCATCATATGTACTTTTCGTCTTATCAATTTTCTTTACAATAGTAGGACTTCTATTTGCTGGCAAAGTTTGTTTACCAGGCTGAGAATGTCTAAATTGCTCGACTCTTCTACTATTTTTTATTTTATTTTATTTTTTTATTTTTGGAGGGTGGGGAGGACAAAGGTAAGGCGTCTGAGTAGTCAGTCCTCTTGTAGGAAGATGCTTAGATCAAACTGATGCTGAAAAGGAAAAAAAAATGCTTTGATTTGTTCTCACTATGCACTTTGGATTTTAAAAAAAAAAAAAGGAGAGCTTTTTCCATAACCAAATATAGACAATATTGACTAAATCTCCTGAGCATATTCAGGCAGTCAGGTCTGCACTGTGATAGCAACCTAGTGAAGGAGAATGCTTTATACTGAAAAGCATGTGGCCCTTGGCGACTCCATTTTTCCATTTTTAACGTCTGATGATTCATTTGAGGTGGGTGGGGGGGAGGTCTAAGTATTTATGAGTCATGGTGGACCAGAGTGATACAAGAGAAGTTCATGTGGGGCTGGCCTCACCTCCTAAGAAATTAGTTTTCACAGTTTCCTTGTAATGGTATGAGCCTTTGGCTCCAGAATGGATTACCATTGCATTACTACACCAAGAAGCCAATAGATCAAACTTGTTTGCTAAAATGTATGTAAAAATTCTGAAATTCCCCATTCTCTGTGTACAAAAAAACAAAAATCAAACACTACAAAACATGTTGGGGTGGGTGGGTGGGGGAAATGTTCCTTATATTTATATAAATATATATATAATATATATATTTTGCTGATGCAGTATACAGTATGTATATATGTGTGTGTGTGTGTGTGTGTATGTGTGTGTAAATTTATGTACACACACATGCAAACAGTTCCTGGAAGAGAACTCTGAATGCTTTGCTAGCAAAACACTGTGGTGTGCAAGCCTAGAACTCAATAGAAAAAAAGCCATTTATCTGAAGGCTGCGTAGTGGAGAGAGTCTTCAGTTTACCTCATTCTTTGTAGCAGCCCTTGATTTTAACAGGTTTTTGTAATAGGTACAAATAATCCCATACCTTTCTACGTTAATTTTAAGTTAAGCTAAATTCTTTATAGGGTTAATTTATTTGTATGATAGTAGAAAGTAAGATCATGTCAAATCTTATAATTTGGTGAATCTGACACTTTAAATTATTGGCAACTGTTGTCTGTTGTACAGAGGTTCTCTTTTTCTACTGGTTCGATCTGTTACATTAATAATGCATTTTATATGTTCAAGCACACAACTTTACATAAATAAAAAGTTCACTAGGAATACCAATTTATAATACTCTAGCTATCTACAACACTAACTTCACTCTGCTCTAAAAAATAAATTTATGTTCTTTTCATCTGTAAGCATTGTTGATACATTTCCTTTACCAAAACCTAAACAATACAATATTTTCTGTATATGCTGTATGCCTTTGCTAAAAGCTAACCTTTTTGCATCTACTTTAGAGGGCTGTACTAAACCCACAGCTTTGTTTTTTCCTAAAAGAAGCATTGCAGCTAACCCTTCAACACACAAATAGTTTTGAAATACAGTATTTCTCTTCTCCACATTTCCATGCCTTCATGTCAGTGCTGAATTGTTTTGTCATTGGGTGAACATTATAGATAATTTCCTGTTTGAAATGTGGGGCAGGAGGCTAATTCATGGCAGTGGAGCTAAGTTTTTCTTCTTTATAATGAGACAGCAACCCAAATGTCCCTATCAGTAGAATTAAAGTCCCATGTAGTCCATGCTTCACACAAACAAATGAATGCACTGGTTTTTAAAAAGCTAGATTATAAATTATAGAATGGTTATTTCAGAGATGGGGCTGCCTCCTCAGATATTCCACAGAGGAAGTGGAGGAGCCTGATGTGCTTCACACTGGCTTGTTTGATGTTCCTCTATCTTACTGTCAATTCAGCAGTATTTGACTGTGAAAGCAAACCCCAGTGTTTCAGCTCCCTCAGGAGGTGGGAGAAGAGGTGGTCCACCACTATGGTGCATTCCTTGAGTGTTCTGTGGAAATGACACACTTACCTTCCCAGGGTCAAAGAAACCTTGGGGAAATGTTTGAAGAAGACTATTTTTCCCCAAGTATTATGATGTCTAGTCAATTCTAATTCCACTGGACATGTTCTATGGACATTTGGGATTGCAGTTTCCATATTGGTTTGATCGGTCCTCAATCAAATGGATCACTTTGAAGGAAAGCTTTTGTTGTCACCATTATACCACTGAGATAAAGTGTTAGCAAAGTGTGGTTCAAATTAATTTATGATATAACCAAGAGCTTTTCTGTTCTAAAAGATTAATTTTATTGTAAATAGTTTCTCAAAGTATTTTTAACTGGATCATGAGCATGGGGAGAGAAAGTTTCTCAGCTGCTAAGAATTTCCCCACTGTTTACTTCTTTCACTTACAGTGGTATTGCATATAATTACAAAATTTAAGGTTTTATTTGTATCTATTACACAAACCATTAAATTGTCTTTAATCATTGTCTTGGAGGTCTAGTGCATAATGGGCTGACAGAGGAAAACCCCCTCTAACCAGTCAGCACTCTAACCCAGGATTAAAACTCCTGTCAAGTAGTATGTGAAGTCAAATCTTTGTACTCTTCCAGACCAAACATTGAAATGGACTCATTCATATAAAAATTCTGTAAATCCTGTAAGTGAAAAGATAGACGATTGTCAGCAGTTACTTTTAAAAAGGTCACTATAATAAGTACTACATAGTACAGTATTAATTTATAGCAGGAAATCATATCTTGTAAGCTGTATATAAAACACTGTTTTATGGTGCAATCATTTGTCAAACTTTTGTCTGTTACATTGTGTACATTCTTCTCATACTTAAGAATATCACTGTAAAATCTGCTGAAAACTATTTATAGGTTTTATTTGCACAGGACTTAACTAGTTTGAAATTTTTGGAAGCTCCTATTGAACATGCCTAAACATCTGTAAACATGAAAAATCTTCGATTCATTAAAAGTAAACATTTCAGTATGATTCTTTCCAAAGGTAATCCATGTTCTATGTTGTTAATGTGTGTATGTAATTTTGTAATTTTTCTGACTCTTATACTTCTTATAAACCTATTTTCTGTTCCATTTGTTTTGTTTTTGGAGCTCGGCTTTTTTTTTTTTTCCTTTTTAATGTTCTAGATGACCAAAACACTTTATTGGCTCTTACCCTTTCTGCTTTATTCACTGTTTAATCTTAAATAAAATAATAAATAGTCCTGGTGACATACAATCTTTTGATTTAGAGGAAAGGCCCTGAAAAAGCATTGGAAACTAACTTCAGATATATTCTTAGATATTACTTTGCATCATGGGCTTCTTGGGAACAACATGTTGCATTTATTTTGTCTTTATTAAAAGACTTTAGCCACAAGTTACTCTGCTTGTAGTAACTATTTTATCAATCCACTTTGATCTTCTTTTAAAAATTAAACTTATATTCACAATTCAAAACAGTAAGCTGTCTTTCAGAACTAATTTTTGAAGGATAAAAATATGTGAAGGAAAAACATGGCCTGTGTAGTTTGAATTTCCTATACAGGACTTACTAGTTGTATCACCTCAAGAGATTTTAGAGTGTATGATCAAGGTCTGTATATTACCCCAAATTTTATTAAGAATTGTTTTCTAATTGGTTATAACATTTTTCAATTAATAGTTTCAGAACAATTGTTAATACAAACTGTATAAAATGAACATAATTTTCTTCACTTGTATTTTTGTTATTGAGCAAGTTTATCAAAATAAATTGTCTACTAAAGAAACTAAAAAGGCTTCTATTACTTTGAAATAAGCTTTGGTTTTTAAAAAATGTATTTCAAAACCGATTTCTTCTGGAGATTTAATATATTCACTCAGTGACAGTTCCATGCCTCTAGGTTTGGTTTTGTTGTTGACATCATATGGGATGGAGGGTGCAGGGACAGGGTGTCTCCCCTCTTTTCTACCCCCGCTTCTAGCTCCCAACTAGGAAATAGATGCCATTACTATTCCAGAATATGGATTAGGGCCACATTTATCAATAAGAAGAGCCACTCAGCAATATAAGACCACACACATGTGGCTCTATCTTCTGCATCATGTTTCCATGGACTGAAAGATTCATTGAGCCAAGGCCCCCAAAGCCAGCTATCTTCCTTTTCTTTCTTCCTTGCTTATGTTTTTACTTTACTACATACCAAAGGATCTTAGCTGCTAAGATTTAAAATTTGGGCTGAAGGAGCAATAAGGCCCTTTAGTCTTGAGACTTGTCCATGTACCCCATTACAGCTTTGCTGTAGCTCTCTCTAGGGGTCCCAGGACTAGCTCAGCCTAATAATAACTAATAATCAAAGAAGACACTGTATTTACTATTTGCTGCTGCTGCTTCTTTAATATAGCTTCTTCAGGAGCCTCACAGGGAGTTGGGAGATTAAGACAAGGTAGAATTTGGACATCTTGGGTTCTGGGTCTTAAAGACATCTTTCTAGGGCAACCAACCGTCTCTGCCTGAGACTGATAGTCTTCCCAGGACATGAGAATTTCAGTGCCATACTGGGGAAGTTCCAGGCAATGGGGATTAATCGATCACCTTATCTTCGTACCACCCATTCTTACCCTGATTTATAACACTGATTAGAGGTATTTGAAGAGTTCTTTTCTAAAAACATTAGTGAATAGGTCAATTGGAAATTGTAATGGTAGACTTGTACTGAATTTCTAAGAGAGTGGGGGGGGAAACACTTTCTCCTTCTTTTTGATAATACCTTAGGAAAAAGCAGCAAAAAGACTGGCTTCAAAAATAATAACATGAGTTGAAATGCTTTATTCTGAATTAGTATTCCATCAACACAAACCACTGTACGAGAGGATTATAGGAAAAACACCAAGACTAGAGGGCTGTGGGTTCCTTTTATGCAAAGTCAACTCTTCTAGGTCACAGTTACCCAGCAACAAAATAAGAGTAGTTATTTATAAATGGTATTAAAGATAGAAAGCATAACCCTGTATTATTTTTTAGAGTTTTGGTTCTTTTCCCAGGAGAAGAATACATTGGGATGAGAATCTCAAGCCCATTTGAGGTTTGTACAAATCAGACTCAATTCCAATCATAGACTAAGACCCCAAGATTAAATTTCAAGAAGTTTTTTTTCATGTGAAGACTCATAAAATTTTAGAGGTAGATGAAATTAAAAAGATTATGTCCGGTGTTCCCATTTTCCAGATGCAGAAATCAAGGCTTCAGAAAAGCATATTGGTTTTCCCAAAGTCATACAACTAGCAAGAGCACTCAACAGGAAAAAAAAGTCTTTGACAAAAAGGCCTTGGACAGTTGACCTAGAACAGTTCATATTCTATAGCCATCTGAACCAGTCTTCCTTCACTTCAATCCATCCAAGTCATTCCTGCCAACTTAATCTTAACACAAAAAGCATTATCATTTCTTTATTTTAGTTTCTGTCATTCCCACTGTCTACAGAATGAAGTCCACACTTCTTTAGCATAATACTGAAAACCCTTCCATGAATCTGGCTTCTGGCTGTCTCTTCTATTTTTCTGTTCTTTTTAATTTCCCATCCCTCTTCATCTTATGCTGACAAACTGGCCTATTTTCTATTCTGTCACTGCACCTGCTATCTTGGCTGTGTCTGTACTACCTCCTTGTAGTTTTCCCTAATCCTTCCCATATTTGAAA